AGTAAATCAAAAATCGGTGTGCTAAAAAAAATTGTTGACCAAAAAACGATTCGTTTGTAAAGTCAACCTTTTTTGATGATTTTTTGGAATATCTCGGCCAAATAATGTCCGATTTTTGAATTTTATACCATTTTGGACTCGTAAGGCTCAGTACTATCGACTGGCATCAAAAAATAGAAAATCTAAATTTTGACCAAAATCGACGAAAAAGCAAGGGGTTACATCACGTTTTTTCTTAAAATCGGGGTCGGCTCGAAAATCACAACTTTTTTGATCAATTTTTTTGAATATCTCGGTTAAAAAGCGTCAGATTTTTAAAAGTTACACCATTTTGAATTTGTACGGATCCCTACTATCAATTGACATTCAAGTAAATCAAAAATCGGTGTGCTAAAAAAAATTGTTGACCAAAAAACGATTCGTTTGTAAAGTCAACCTTTTTTGATGATTTTTTGGAATATCTCGGCCAAATAATGTCCGATTTTTGAATTTTATACCATTTTGGACTCGTAAGGATCAGTACCTTCGACTGGCATCAAAAAATAGAAAATCTAAATTTTGACCAAAATCGACGAAAAAGCAAGGGGTTACATCACGTTTTTTCTTAAAATCGGGGTCGGCTCGAAAATCACAACTTTTTTGATCAATTTTTTTGAATATCTCGGTTAAAAAGCGTCAGATTTTTAAAAGTTACACCATTTTGAATTTGTACGGATCCCTACTATCAATTGACATTCAAGTAAATCAAAAATCGGTGTGCTAAAAAAAATTGTTGACCAAAAAACGATTCGTTTGTAAAGTCAACCTTTTTTGATGATTTTTTGGAATATCTCGGCCAAATAATGTCCGATTTTTGAATTTTATACCATTTTGGACTCGTAAGGATCAGTACTATCGACTGGCATCAAAAAATAGAAAATCTAAATTTTGACCAAAATCGACGAAAAAGCAAGGGGTTACATCACGTTTTTTCTTAAAATCGGGGTCGGCTCGAAAATCACAACTTTTTTGATCAATTTTTTTGAATATCTCGGTTAAAAAGCGTAAGATTTTTAAAAGTTACACCATTTTGAATTTGTACGGATCCTTACTATCAATTGACATTCAAGTAAATCAAAAATCGGTGTGCTAAAAAAAATTGTTGACCAAAAAACGATTCGTTTGTAAAGTCAACCTTTTTTGATGATTTTTTGGAATATCTCGGCCAAATAATGTCCGATTTTTGAATTTTATACCATTTTGGACTCGTAAGGATCAGTACTATCGACTGGCATCAAAAAATAGAAAATCTAAATTTTGACCAAAATCGACGAAAAAGCAAGGGGTTACATCACGTTTTTTCTTAAAATCGGGGTCGGCTCGAAAATCACAACTTTTTTGATCAATTTTTTTGAATATCTCGGTTAAAAAGCGTCAGATTTTTAAAAGTTACACCATTTTGAATTTGTACGGATCCCTACTATCAATTGACATTCAAGTAAATCAAAAATCGGTGTGCTAAAAAAAATTGTTGACCAAAAACGATTCGTTTGTAAAGTCAACCTTTTTTGATGATTTTTTGGAATATCTCGGCCAAATAATGTCCGATTTTTGAATTTTATACCATTTTGGACTCGTAAGGCTCAGTACTATCGACTGGCATCAAAAAATAGAAAATCTAAATTTTGACCAAAATCGACGAAAAAGCAAGGGGTTACATCACGTTTTTTCTTAAAATCGGGGTCGGCTCGAAAATCACAACTTTTTTGATCAATTTTTTTGAATATCTCGGTTAAAAAGCGTCAGATTTTTAAAAGTTACACCATTTTGAATTTGTACGGATCCCTACTATCAATTGACATTCAAGTAAATCAAAAATCGGTGTGCTAAAAAAAATTGTTGACCAAAAACGATTCGTTTGTAAAGTCAACCTTTTTTGATGATTTTTTGGAATATCTCGGCCAAATAATGTCCGATTTTTGAATTTTATACCATTTTGGACTCGTAAGGATCAGTACCTTCGACTGGCATCAAAAAATAGAAAATCTAAATTTTGACCAAAATCGACGAAAAAGCAAGGGGTTACATCACGTTTTTTCTTAAAATCGGGGTCGGCTCGAAAATCACAACTTTTTTGATCAATTTTTTTGAATATCTCGGTTAAAAAGCGTCAGATTTTTAAAAGTTACACCATTTTGAATTTGTACGGATCCCTACTATCAATTGACATTCAAGTAAATCAAAAATCGGTGTGCTAAAAAAAATTGTTGACCAAAAACGATTCGTTTGTAAAGTCAACCTTTTTTGATGATTTTTTGGAATATCTCGGCCAAATAATGTCCGATTTTTGAATTTTATACCATTTTGGACTCGTAAGGATCAGTACCTTCGACTGGCATCAAAAAATAGAAAATCTAAATTTTGACCAAAATCGACGAAAAAGCAAGGGGTTACATCACGTTTTTTCTTAAAATCGGGGTCGGCTCGAAAATCACAACTTTTTTGATCAATTTTTTTGAATATCTCGGCTAAAAAGCGTCAGATTCTTAAAAGTTACACCATTTTGAATTTGTACGGATCCCTACTATCAAATGACATTCAAGTAAATCAAAAATCGTCGTGCTAAAAAAACTTGTTGACCAAAAAACGATTCGTTTGTAAAGTCAACCTTTTTTGATGATTTTTGGAATATCTCGGCCAAATAATGTCCGATTTTTGAATTTTATACCATTTTGGACTCGTAAGGATCAGTACTATCGACTGGCATCAAAAAATAGAAAATCTAAATTTTGACCAAAATCGACGAAAAAGCACGTTTTTTCTTAAAATCGGGGTCGGCTCGAAAATCACAACTTTTTTGATCAATTTTTTTGAATATCTCGGTTAAAAAGCGTAAGATTTTTAAAAGTTACACCATTTTGAATTTGTACGGATCCCTACTATCAATTGACATTCAAGTAAATCAAAAATCGGTGTGCTAAAAAAATTGTTGACCAAAAAACGATTCGTTTGTAAAGTCAACCTCTTTTGATGATTTTTTTGAGTTTTATCTACTTTTTGAGCGACAATTTTTATTAATATATTAAATATTATTTATTTCAGGTAAATACAGTCACAACTTGACAAAAGGGAGGACAGAAGGAAAATAGCTGGAAAAGACCAGACAAAGCTTACTTGGGCAACGCCGGATAATACCCGCTAAGTGTAGATACATGAAATAAAAACAAATTATTCAAATGCTGTAAAACATATATTTTTTTGAATAACTATATAAATAATAATTAAGCAATGAAAATACGATGCTATGAAACAAAATAAATATATTGAAATATAAATCAATTCTGATGTTTTTTTTGTGAGGAATTTTTTGGGCAGTTAAGGTGAGTAATTCGAAAGAGTCGACATAGCTTCGCCGATCTGCGCGAGATTATTTTGTTAGAAAACAACTCCCGGGCAAAAAAGTCTGATTTTCGTTCTTAATGCGTTGGAGATATGTCGTTTTGAAACGACATAGCTCCACCGCTCTGATTTTCCCTTTTAAAAACGTTGGAGATACATATGTCGTTTTGAAGCGACATAGCTCCACCGCTCTGATTTTCGTTTTTATTGCGTTGGAGAAGTTCAAATCGGATCATTAAATTATTCGAAATATCATTTTATTTATAATCCAATCTTTGGTGGAATTTGGGATAGTTATTATTTCAATCATTGTGCAATGCAACATGTTAAGTTTTCTCTAGCTTACTTAACATAACTATGTTAAAATGTCGAACTCGAAAAGTTATGTTAAATCAGGAAATGGTAAAAGAATTTTAAAATATTTTTTGAAAAATTCTTAATGTTTGCATACTTATTATGTAATGCAACATGTTAAATTTTCTGTAGCATATGTTATGTGAGATCAAAGCTAGCAAATGGGATAAGAGCAAATGATGCAGAGTTTGACAAATACATAGATATTAGCTTAGACTTAGAGCATTATACAATTTTGTTTTATTTTATTTTGGCGTATTTAATCAATACTCATTGCATTACATAATTCTATATCTTAGACTGTGAAAACTGATCTTATATGGCTTTGGGTGGGCAAAACGTTTTTCACGCTCCATTTGGCGCATGTGTGGGTGAAGGTCTGTCTGTCTGAGTGCGACCGCAGCACAGAGAATCATTATTTTGATTATATAACAACAAGAGGCAGCATTGTCAAATCGCCATAAACGGCCAGTTCGATGAGTAAAACCTAAGCGAATTATAGCTATTCAATGAGCCATTAAGTTATCCACAATTGCGCTGGAAATGTGGGCGAATATTGACTCAGAACAGCGCGTTCAATCTCGATTGATCGCCAGAGCAGCTTGAAATTCGCCGCGAAGGTCAAAACCATTGCAAAACCGTTAAGAAGTATACAAAGTTCATTAACAGTCGTTGGCTCCGCTTGACGCTGTTAACGCCAACGCAGAGCTGGCAAGGCGACTGTTAGGTGTTTATGATAAAGCTGCTGTTAAAGACAGCTGCAACAGCTGCTGTTTCTTGTTCTTATCTGTTAGCAACTAGAGCCAACAGACGAACATTATTTCGTTAAATATGCAATATGCTTACAAACAGACAACATATCAGCAACTGGCTTAAATGTTGCTGTTATTGCTGTGGCTATTGTTGTGGTTGCTGCTGTTATCACTCTTTTTTTATTTAAAATAAACGGCAACAGTTGTGAATTGTTCCGTTACGCCTTACTGCTACTGCAACTGCTGTAAGTAAATATTCAAACGTAAAGGCCACAGACTGCAACATTAACATTAAATGTTAGTGTTATTGCCTGCTAATATAGCTGTTGTTATTGCTGCTGCTACTGTTATTGCTGCGGTTGCCCCTGTTCTTGGACTGTTAAATGTATCTGCTATGTTATGCTATTACAGCTGCTGTTAACGAAACATTCGAAAAGGCAACAGACGGCAACTTTGGCGCTCAGTTTGTGTTCAGCAACGCTCGAGTACGTTACGAAGTCGAAATAAATAAAACCGAAAACCAAATCAGATATTTGAACTAAAGCGAAAAAAACCACAAAAACAGTAGCAACAAATTGTTGTATCGTATATTATTTTGGCAATTTTCTAGCAATTTAACGAGCGCGACAGCTGTCACTTTAACTCAATTAACGATCAGCGAACAACGAAAACAAATTCCCCCTCTACCCCACGTCCCCTATCCCCCCTCGCCCTCACAATTGTAACGCTCGCGTTGTGTTGTTGTGCTTTTTGCCAACGTCTACGCAGATGTTTTAAAAGTCCTGCCGCACAGGCTGTAAATCGAGCAAGGACTGTTTGCCTTTGAAACGGCTAGCCCGGTGCTAACTGAAAGTTTTTTATTGTGCAAATCAAAGTTGAAAAAGTCGAAAGCTAAAAAGGGCGACAACACAGGCAACAGAGGCACAGACACAAGCGCTTGTGGTAAGTAAACAAGGCGCAACAAAAGAAAAAAAGGCAACAGCTATTCAGCTAACCCACCTGTGACTGTGACTGTGACAGTGACTGTGACTGCGACTGCTGGCATTGCGTGCCGCGGCGCTTGTCCTGACCTAAAAGTTCATTGACTGACTGGCAGAAGTTGCACGGGTCGATTGTCTGTCTGTATTGGCATTTTGTGGCAGCTCCACGAATCGGAACACCCCCGCCCCCGCCTCGCCCCCGCCCATGCCACAGGAACAGCTGTTCACGCCACACAAAACAACATTGTTTTGTCAATTGTTTTCCATTGATGTCGCACTCGCGCCGGTGCCACAAGTGGCAACGGGGAAACCTTTCCACAAGTGCCCAGTTTTTTTTCAGGCCCATATGACATCAGCTCCATCAAGCGCAAACCGGTCGAGTTTGCGTCTATTTCCAACTCTTTTTTTCTGAGAGCCTCTGATTGTGAGCTCAACAACAACAACAGAAACAGCTACCAAAATTAAATTACCAAAGTAAAAGAGAAGCAAAAAAAGCTAGAGGCAAAAACACCTAAAAAAAAACTCAATAATCGAGCCGGTACGCCCAGCAGATACCCTGTACCCAGTTGCACACATTTCAATCTTCGCTCAACTGTCTGAATTATTCTTAAATATTCTTTAATAACTTTTCTAAAGCTGACAGTCGAATGTTTGCATATCCCAATTATCAAGACTTTAGCTTTTAAGTTTTGATAAATGGGCTGAGGTATACAAAAAGCTAAATATTCAAACACGTGTGGAAGCAAAGTATAAATCTAACTTTAAAATTTGCTGCTCTTAGGTCTTATAATCTGCGAGATATGCTCAAAAAAGTAAGAAAGGCAAACGATTTTTAACGATTGTAAGGAGCATAAAAATAAAGTTATCGATAAAATTAAATGATTTTGATATACAAAAGTCTATATTCGTGTTCGTGTATTTTGATCTCACAATTCTCGAGATATGCTTAGAATCCGATCGATAATTATCGATTTTGGGTTAAATCAGGGAGCTATAGCATAGAGACGAACATGGATCGAATGTGGATCAACTTGCCAGCTAATGCTGTTTAAGATAATAAAAACTTGATGGAATCAGACTTGCCTTTGTCTGCACAGCTGCCCCATTTCGCTCGCCATAAATAGTTACAGGGTATACAAAACAGAGAGAAAAAAAAACACAGATTATGAATTTTGAGCTTTGTAAATGCATAAAATAAATATTTATAAGCTGATATAACAGGCAAAAGCCATGCAAATATTAGTCAGAGCTGCAACTGCGAGCCGTTCCCAGGCCCATTTGCCGCGTGCTTTGGCCATAAATTGCACAGAACGGAAATGGTCTATAACATTTACAATTTAGCATATAGCTAAGCGATCGGTTTTGTGGATCTTGGCAGGAATTCAAGTAGTCGAGTGACTCAGGAGCCGCTTTCCAGCTTTCACTTGGCAAACGTTTTGCTTAAGCTCGGAGAAACGAAAAACACGTTTAGAAAATCTAATTAGATTTTGAGAACAAAACTAGTTCACACACACACACAGACACACACAGACATTGCTGACGTCAGTTTGTTTTTGTGTTTTATCACTTTGTGCTTTTTGCCCGCTTTTGGCCCAAACACTTTTGGCAGTCAACTTTATTTGGGTTGTTGTTGTAACCGACAGCAGAGGGTATTTCAATTCGGTCACGAATTGTGTAACGCAGCGCTCAAGCCAGGAGAATAGGGCATATACATACCAATTGAACCTATGTGAACCGAGCTGTCCGCGCAGCTATCTTAGCGAGACTTGTTTCTTTTTGTTGCAGACAGCAGATATGTCGAGATCGATCAAAACGAAGCACTATATCCAAGGCCTGGCATAGCAGGAATAGGCAGAAACTTAAGATCTCTTGAAGATATCTTAAGAGATCGCTTTATCGCTTTACTATATCATAAAGCTTCTCTAAGCAGAATTTGTTCAGTATTTTCAACTTTTTTGGTTTCCAAGAGATGTTATCCAATTCTACGATTGACGAGCTGCATTAACATATCTGCTTAGTCCTCTCCACATATAGGTACTATATCATATATAGTTTTCATATGAATAAGTTTTCTGTACAAGTAGTCAAATATTCAGAGCAGAAGAGTATTTGATCTTCGTCATGCCGCAGCCACACAAAATACCTGTTATTTCTTGTTGATACATCTATTTGCCGGTGTCGTCTTTTTGGTTTGGCGCGCGGCTTGTTTTGCTGTTAATTAAACATGTTGATTGTTGCGATTGCCCCTTTTGTTGTTGTACTAACTGGGCAGAGAGAGATGGAGAGAGAGAGAGAGGGAGAGGCCAAAAAAACGACTTGTTAATAATAATAATTTCGATAGACCTACAAAACGCTTCAGTTTGGCAGTTACGTGTGTGGGCGCCGTCTGGAGACCCATTTAGAGTGTGTCTATACAGCCCGGCCAGCTTTTTGGACAACTCAATGTGGGCTAAAGGAAATGGCCAAGACACAGTCGTCGGCCGTATTTCGTTCGTCTAGCCGTATTTGGGCGTAAAAGTTGCCCGCCAAATGCTGGAAAATGAGCTCATTTTATTTCATTTCATTTTTGGCCATTCACTCACAAAATTTGCGAGCGTAAAATGTAAGTTTTTTTTTTGTTAAAATAACAAAATACAACAAAAGTGTTATTATTTATTATAACAATCAGCTGCCAGAGGCTAACTGAAAATCTCAGTAAAATTTGCAACAAATTAATTGCCTGTCAGCTTTTAGCTTAAATTAATTGCCAGAAGTTTCGCTTACTCAATTAACCACAAAAAAAAGCATTTCGCCTCATAGAATTTCTTGTGTTGAGAACAGATTTGTTTTTCCTCTGGGAAAAGGCATTTTTTTATTTATTGCACTTTCCGCTAGAAACATTTCGGTTTTGTTGAATAACTGTTGATCTCTTGGAAAGCAAATGCAAATAATTTCTAATTTGACTTTTGTGATCGAAAATATATAATATATATCATATATATATAAACAATCTATCGATAGGCATGCCAAGCTTTCATATCTATAATCAATCTCATTTCAATGGACCTTCACGATTTACGCTGCCTTGAAATTAATTAGAATACTTGGAATTGAATATTTTGAACCACAAATGCCAATCCAATACCAAGCTTTCATATATTGAATCGATGCACCCGAAACTTATATAGACTGGCTTTGAAAAAAGCCAAAAAGCAAAACTTTTTTATGATTTTTTTCAAATATCTCGGATAAATAACATTTGATTTTTGAATAAAATACATTTTTGAATTCGTACGAAAGCCTACTATGAATTGGCATTCAAAAAAATAACAATCAAGGGGATACATAAAAATGATGGATAAAAAACGGTTTGGTAATGCCGTCAAACTTGCTTGATGATTTTTCGGAATATCTCGGCCAAATAATGTCCGATTTTTGAATTTTATACCATTTTGGACTCGTAAGGATCAGTACTATCGACTGGCATCAAAAAATAGAAAATCTAAATTTTGACCAAAATCGACAAAAAAGCAAGGGGTTACATCATGTTTTTTTCCCAAAAACGAGGTCGGTTCGAAAATCACAACTTTTTTGATGATTTTTTTTAACATTTCGGCCAGATAATGTCAGATTTTCGAATTTTATACCTGTTTGAATTCGTACGGATCCCTACTATGAACTTGCATTCAAAGGAATTAAAAATCGATGGGTTAAAAAAAGTTGTTGGCCAAAAAACGAATCAAACCCTTTTAGATGATTATATTGAAAATATAGCCTGAATCTTAAACCTATACAGTTTGAGAATCACTGCCTATGCTTACAGTTGTAGAGTCACCAATCATGGCTCTTCAGCCGCTCTTTCCAGCTTTTATAAGTGACTTGTTATTAAATAATATCTCACAGAATCTGTTTCCACTCTGTTCTATCAGATCTCTCTTAACAATGGCCTGAACGCATATCAGGTTTCAGCTAGACCTCAGACTGAAGCTGCTTTTGAGCTTCAGTTTTAGACAAAGGGCGCACTGTTGTTCACAATGGACCTAAATTAGCTAAGCTGAATCTAGATTAAAAGATTGTCGCACTAGCCTAAACTTACCCAACCTTAACTAAAATACCAAGTCTTTTAGCAGCTACAGCAAAAATCTAGCTTGCTTAGATGCAAATTGAACCAACATAATTTAACTAAATATTATTTATATTAAATATGGGTGTAAGCGTATTTAATCTTCGTCTTGCCAAGGCTAATTCTGCTCTTTTTTTTCATGCATTAGTTGACATCATAAATTGTTGCTGACGTGTGTCTGGCTTGTATTTGTATTGTATTACCTACTCGTTGTTATTGAGTCTCTGTGTGTGTGTGTGTGTGTGTATCTGTGTGAGTGCGCAAAAAAGTGCGAGTTCAAAGTTGGCATCATCTATCAAGATCTTCGTAACATTAGCATAGAGTCATGCAACGAAAATAGCCGCCTGACAGGTTTCTGCGTCGAGGGGAACTCACGCAGCTAGAGGGAAAGGGGGAAGCAGGTTAGTAAATGTGGGCGTGCACTCGATTGAAATCAATTTGAATAAGCTCAATTGACAATCGAACCGGTTGTCGGTGACCTGAGCACCTCCACTGGCACTGATAAACTATCAGCAGCAGCATCTGTAATTAAAGTGTGGCCCGACACCTGTTTCCAAGTGCGCCGACTGCACTTGCTACACTGTACAAAATTTTGGTTACAAAGATTTCGAACAATTTTGAAACATGTTGAGCTCGAATGCATTAAATAATTGATAGTTCAAACTACCCTTAGACCATTATTAACTTTGACAAAAATCAAATAATACAAATTAGTTCGTAAGTTAAGTTTTGGGTTTCGAAAATAGGTTTAAAGCCAATTGGACAACACTTAAAAAATCGTTGCATGGCATTTTCCACAAAAGGAAGTTTGAATTCTGCAAAAAGTGTGAAACATGTCTTAAATAATTGTTCATATATATCCTTGGAATTTGAACCCGAAAGATCTCCGAACTAATCTTCTTCTTCCTAGAATTGAAAGCTTGGAATATTTTAGTATAAGTATCTGTAAGTATATCCATAATTTTCGAAAATCGTCAAAAAAGAAAGTTGCGCTAAAATTCGAACCAACGTCTTTACTTTTGCCTTAGTATTGAGCTATTCAAACCTCTCCCAAACTAACTCTAATTAAACCACACTTGAAAAATAAGTAAGACGCTTAATTCAATTCAATTAATTTCTAATTTAATTTTAATTTCAACTAATTGTTAAATAGAATTTAATTTGCAAAAGCAGCTCTATTTAAAGCAACCTTTCTTGCCGTGTATGCATGCCTGTGGCTCAGGCATTGCATGTGCACCTGATTAATTTGATAAATGCGACTAAGTTGGCGCGTTTTAACACGATTTTAGGCCACAAATTAAGATTAATAAGTTGGCGGCAGGCAACATTGAGACATGACCACGCAAATCTGTCTGCCGGCAGCCAGACCTGAGCTGATTCATCTCGAACTCGAGCATGGGCCATATGTGCTGTAGGCAGCTTTGATTGATCTATGTATAGTACCCCCCCCCCCCTCCCCCCTCCTCCATTGGGGAAGTGCAATTGCGCGTGTGGGTGCCGGACTCGTCGATGATGTAAGATTCGGTTCTAGAAGCGCATTTGGCTACCAGAAAACAGAGAACAACGAACAAAAAGCCAAGCCGAAAATGAACATGTTTCAATTGCGTGCGAGGTCGCGGGCCGCAAACACGCCCACTTTTTAGCCTCAATTTGAACAGCTTTGCTTTATGGTATCAAAAAGCCCCTCCACCCCCCCCGTCTGTCACTTAGAGTGCGGGTCGTTGTTGTGCCACGCCCACACAGAAATTGGCTCAACTGTATTTACATAACATGAGGCCGAGAGCTGTTGATTTCACGGTCAAAGAAGTTGCACGCTTTGGCTGCCGCAGCCACAGCCAGACTTGTTCTTTGGCTGGGAGCTAGAGATGTGCGCGTGAGGGCACAACACGAACACGAATCCAAAAATAAACACACGAGTTTTCAGCTAGGACTCACGGCACGTCGAGCTTAGAGAAGAGAAGAGCTAGATACTTTAGATTGTTGATCGATATGATTCCAGCATATCGATAAATATCGACAGAATGATTAATTGGTGTTGAGGTAAGCGGAGATGTGTTTGCATTGTACGCAACGAACACGAATCGTTAAATACACACACGAATTTTTACTTGATACACATGCCAAATCGATTTAGAGAAGAAAAGACCAGATACTTTAGATTATTGATCGATAGTTTCCAGCAGATCAATAGGTAAACAAAGGGTTATTTGAACACATTCAAAATGCGAGTCAATTGAAGTCGTGTTGACTCGTGTTAGGCCTACCAAAATCGTGCTTATGTTGAGTCGTGCTCAGCTCGTGCTTAGCCAGCTGCATTGCCCAACACTGGCGCGAGCGAATTGAAATTAATTTTCGCACGGCACGCGCGTAACTTGAATTTCGACAAGCCATTTTCTTGGCATGCAATTGTCGCTCCATAAGTCATTAAAGGTAATCGTTTTGTTGGCCCAACATGCGCCAAATGGCCAACATTAGCACTTAGCATACATTTTGGGGGCGCAACCTTGCTGCCAGACTGGCCAGGCCAGGCCAGGCCAGGGGTGAGGTTAGGGTCTGAGCTGACGTTCAATCGCTTCAGCTAATCGCCAGGCTAAAAGCCAATTGGGGTCGTCATCGCCAAGTATCGATTACACTGCGACGACGTCGCGACCTGTTACCAGACCAGATCAGGCCAGACCAGGCCTTCGTGCCTGTGGGTAGGCAACACTTTTGGGCGCTGTGTGAAAAGAAGAAGGTCACGTGCCCTGGGACTACCACAAACTTATACTCTTTGTCCATTGTGTGTCTTTTTTATATTTTCTTTACGTGACCAAACAAATCGGCAGGCGAACCAACCCAATTTCTCGGCGAGCGCTGTCCCAGAAAATTCGAAACAACCAAATCGTTCACGCTGCAAGTCACAAAGTTGGTGCCCCTTTTTGTTTATACCCTATACTTATTGAATATGGGTAAATGGTTTGGGTTGGCCTGAAACGTCCCTTCTAACCCATAATCAATCCTTAAGCTGAGCCAATTTTGGCTTTGTTTCTCTGCTTTTCAGTGTGATGCAGCCTTCAAATTTCCCATGCATAGCAAGTTTTTTCTTTTACATCGACAACTTTTTCGATGAATATCGAAGAGAGCTTGTTTATAAATATGTGTGAATACAGGGTATTTACAGGTCGAGCACGCTCAGCTGAAGCACTCTAGTTCGACTTTATGGATTTTACGTCATGAATTTGATGTTAATTTAGGCATTTGGCTTATTGGGTTAGCAGACATTTTAGCCCAAAGCCCCCCAACTTTCAATTGAATTCCAAACAAATACAAAAGTCAAATTCGTGTTTTTTATTTCTTTGTCGTAAATTCCGCAATCCGTGATCCATAATTAACGTCCGTAGAGACATCCGAAGAACTGCAGCAAAATGATTAAAAATGTGCGGCAGCTGTTTGGAAGTTCGAGTTGCATATTAAACCGGAACGCTCTCGCTTTTTTTTGCAGGTTGCCTTTCAGGGAAAATTCAGGTACAAGAAGAAGAAGATAACGGGCCCCTGCGCACCGGTACGCATAATACGCACACTCAACATGGCCGGCAGCATCGAGCAGCGCCCCTGGACGCCCACAGTGCGCACGGGCCGCATTGCGGCGGAGACGACCAATCCGGGTCCGGCAATTGTCCAGCTGCCCACGTTAATTGGTGGGTTAAGGGGCAATGGGAAATGTGAGAGCCGGATGATTGATGGGTTTCTCTACCTTTGCAGGCAGCAAGGTGCCGGACTCGAAGAAGAAGGGCGCACCCTCGTATTCGTTTGGCCACAAACTGATCAACAGGGATGAGACGACGGGTCCTGGCCCGGCACAGTACAATGTGGCCGGGATGCGACCGAAGGGCAAGGATCATGCACGCGCCGCCACACTGCAAAGTCGTCCCAAGGAGTTGACCAGCTTTGTCAATCCCGGACCCGGTGAATACGACGTGTTGCCGGCCTCCAAGGCTGTCATCGATGCCACGCCCAAATACACTTTCGGCAGGAAGCCGGCCAGCGCCAAGTACCAGCTGATACCGGGTAAGTCGAGGCGGTCCTCGTTCGAGCCGTGCTCACAGAGTTTTGTGCTTGGTTGTTTTGGTGTTCCTGTTGGTTGTTTGAATGGTTGTTGGTCGTTGGTCGCGATTTGCATGCGCATCATTAACGCTAATGGATTACGGAGAGGCATCATCATCAAGCATCCAGCATCAGCAAGACATCAGCCATGTCTGGCGCAGACGAGACGCATCCATCATGCATTGTGTATATATATAAGAAATCATTTTGAATAATTATGTTCCATGTGAAAGAATCATCCAAGCAGCGCGTAAGTAAACGCTGCGTTTTAAATTGAGAGCACCTCTCTCTCTCTCTCTCTCTCTCGCTCGCCCGCCCACTATATATTGCCTCTCTTTCTCTCTCTTTACTCCTTGTAGTTAGTTGTATCTGCTTGCTTCTAGTTAGTATAGTTATCTCTCTCTCTTTCTGTCTCTTTCTCTTTTTGTACAGTACTGTTTCTCTCTCTCTCTTTTTCTCCTCTCTTTTGTAGCTTAGTTGTACACAGGGTTGCCACATGTGCTACAAATGTACCAAAATTGGTTCTTTATTTTTAAATGAAATTTATTTTAAAAATATAAAATATATTCGGGCTTATTTTAATTTAAATCCTCAAGAAAAAAGGTACATTTCACTTATGCTTCTGGTACAAAGTAAGTTGACAGGGTGGCAACCGTGTTTTTTTGAGAGCGATCTCTTTTCTAGTTTGTCTTACGCTCTCGCGCTCTCTTTTGTATCATAGCTCTTAGACACGTAGTTCTCTTGTATGTTTCGTTGTATTTTTATTTCTTTTTATATGTTCTTTGTTTTTCTTTTGTGTTTTTTTCTCGATTACTTTGATCTTGATTTTAATGGAACATTTTTCTTCTTTAATAAAACCGACCCACAACACTGACTGACTGACAATTTTAGGTCCCAACCATTATCAAGTGGTGCCGCTTGATGTCATTAAGCCGCGTGCGCCTCGTTATTCCTTTCGCATTAAGGTTAACGTTTATCTAGTTAACAATCCAGGTAACACAACTAACTGGCCAACAGCTTGCAGTTAATCCAGTTAATCCGTCGTACACGCACATTTCTCTATTGCATGTGCTCGCTCTCACTACTGATTCTCTGGTTTGGGGTTTTCCCTCTAGTCTGTTAGGCACTTAACAACACTTTTTCCTAACTCGTAACTCGTAACTTCTAACCTCATTTAGTTTTCTTGCAGTATAACCCAACACTAGTTGCATTTCCGCATTCTCGTATCGTGTAGTCTAAACAAAAATAAAAACGTTACCCGTACCAAATATTTTGTTTTATTAACACTAACAGCGCCAAATAGCTATTGTCCTGAAAAGTACACGCAATCAAGAAAGAATTCGCCACGTTTCACATTTGGTAGACGAACTAAAATCCAACACGATCAGCATACACCAGGTAATATGTTGTTTACCTCCTCCCTCCCCCCAAGCAGCAGCAATCAGGCACTCGTAGTATTTTAGTTAGAAATCGGATTAGAATTTAAAAATTTTAAAATGCATACTTTGGGTTCTGGTAGTAATCTGTTCATATTTATTCCACAGCTCCTGGCGCCTATTCTCCCGAGAAGGTCAACCCCAGCAAGACGCCGGAGTTTAGTTTCGGCATCAAACATCATGAGCTGCGGCCTGACTATACGCCAGGTTTGTAGCTACATTTAAACAGAACAAAACTTAAGCCAGCTTTCTTCAATGTACGATAGCGACGCTAGTCAGCTGAGCCTCATGCTAGTTTATCCTGCAGATAAACTGCCTGGTAAATAGCATTGTACGCCATTTACCATCACTGTAGCAAATATGTGTCCAAGAAGAAGAAAACCACGAAAGTGGGACTTTTGAGTCAGCTTTCTTCAATGTATGCTCGCCCTTTGCCAATTTATCCTGCAGATAAACTGCCTGGTAAATAGCATTGTACGCTTAACGAGAAAAAGGCTGGGGTACTTGCAATTATATTTTTCTTTGTCAATTAAATATAATTGAAAGGATATACCCAGTCCCAAAGCATGAAGGCGATCGAGTCGTACATTGAGTACGGAAATACAAAATGTTATAAGTTATGTAACAACTTGGCACCTTTTTGCAGCACCTGGCTCCTACAAGCCCGAGCAAGTAGTTCTAGAGCACACGCCCGCTTATAGTTTTGGCCTAAAGACGCAGCACACACAGCACAATGACTCGCCAGGTGGGCTCCAGATTTAGCTAGCGCGATGCTTAGCCTAATCACGATGATTTTTATTGTCACCCACTTTTAGCACCTGGCACATACAGTCCCGAAAAGTCCAAGCTGCACACGACACCCGCTTTTAGCATTGCCGGCAAGTCTAATCACGATGTTGTTGATGCCACGCCAGGTGAGTCACCTCCACCACATCCCATTCGATCTTATTCCACGCACTCGGACTAATGCAATGTTCCCCGTTTCTGTTGCAGCGCCCGGCGCATACGAGCCAGAGAAATGTATTTTGAACAAAACACCTGCCTTCAGTTTTGGGCATCGTGTACAGGCGACCAAGTCGCAAGATACACCTGCACCTGGCACCTATCAGCCGGAGAAGATGCGCTTGGATAGTGGACCCGCCTACACGCTATCCGGCCGACATGAACTGAAATCCGTAAGTCTGACGCCGGCGCCCGGCTCGTATGCTCCGGAGAAATATCGCAGCGATCACACGCCAGCGTTCAGCTTCGCTGGTAAGCATGAGCATCGCATTGATAGCTCCACCCCGGCACCAGGCGACTACAGTCCCGAAAAAGTACGGCACGATCACAATCCTGCTTACTCATTTGCCGGACGCCATGACATACTCAAGACGAGCGACACTCCCGCACCAGGCGCCTATGAGACCGAAAAGGTGCGACTAGACCACAATCCCGCCTTCTCCTTTGCCGGCCGCCATGATCTTCAGAAGCCAAGCGATACCCCAGCTCCCGGAGCATACTCTCCCGAGAAAGTTCGCCATGATCACAATCCCGCATTCACTATGGCTGGCAAGCATGAAGTAAAACTAACAAATGGCACGCCAGCTCCTGGAGATTACTCTCCTGAGAAGACCCGACTCGATCATACTCCTGCTTATACCTTTGGTGGCAAGAATGATCCCAAGGTGGAAAACCATACCCCTGCTCCCGGTGACTATCACCCTGAGAAGGTCAGACAAGACCACAATCCCGCCTTTTCCTTTGCTGGTCGTCACGATCTTCAGAAGCCATCCGATACCCCAGCTCCTGGAGCTTATTCCCCTGAGAAAGTTCGTCAAGATCATAATCCCGCATTCTCTATGGCCGGAAAGCACAACCAGAAGATCTCCAATGATACACCAGCTCCTGGAGATTATTCTCCCGAGAAGAGCCGGTTGGATCACACACCCGCCTATACTTTTGGTAGCAAGAATGATCCTAAGATAGAGAGCCATACGCCTGCTCCCGGTGACTACCACCCTGAGAAGGTCAGACAAGACCACAATCCCGCCTTTTCCTTTGCTGGTCGTCACGATCTTCAGAAGCCATCCGATACACCAGCTCCTGGAGCTTATTCCCCTGAGAAAGTTCGACAAGATCACAATCCCGCATTCTCCATGGCCGGAAAGCACGAGGTGAAGATTACAAATGGCACACCAGCCCCTGGAGACTACTGTCCCGAAAAGGTTCGTTTGGATCATACACCTTCTTATACTTTTGGGGGAAAGCATAACCCTAAAATAGAGAGCCACACGCCTGCCCCGGGTGACTACCACCCAGAGAAAGTCAGACAAGACCACAATCCAGCCTTTTCGTTCGCTGGCCGCTATGATCTTCAGAAGCCCAGCGACACTCCAGCTCCAGGCGCATATGCCCCTGAAAAGGTGAGACAAGATCACAATCCCGCATTCTCAATGGCTGGAAAACACAACCCTAAGAATACAAACGACACTCCAGCGCCCGGAGATTATTGTCCCGAGAAGGTTCGTTTGGATCACACACCCGCTTACACTTTTGGTGGAAGAAATGATCCCAAAGTAGAAAATCATACGCCTGCTCCAGGAGATTACCATCCAGAAAAGGTCAGACAGGATCACAATCCCGCTTTCTCCTTTGCTGGTCGTCATGACCTTCAGAAGCCAAGCGATACCCCAGCTCCCGGAGCATACTCTCCTGAGAAAGTTCGCCATGATCACAATCCCGCATTCACTATGGCTGGCAAGCATGAGGTTAAAATAACAAATGGCACACCAGCTCCTGGGGATTACTCTCCTGAGAAGTCCCGACTCGATCATGCTCCTGCTTATACCTTTGGTGGCAAGAATGATTCCAAGGTGGAAAACCATACCCCTGCTCCTGGTGATTATCACCCTGAGAAGGTCAGACAAGACCACAATCCCTCCTTTTCCTTTGCTGGTCGTCATGATCTTCAGAAGCCAAGCGAAACTCCAGCTCCCGGAGCTTACTCCCCTGAAAAAGTCCGTCAGGATCACAATCCCGCATTCTCTATGGCTGGAAAACACGATCCAAAGATTTCAAATGGTACGCCAGCTCCTGGTGATTATTCTCCCGAGAAGACCCGATTGGATCACACACCCTCCTTTTCCTTTGCTGGTCGTCATGATCTTCAGAAGCCAAGCGATACCCCAGCTCCTGGAGCTTACTCCCCTGAAAAAGTCCGACAGGATCACAATCCCGCATTCACTATGGCTGGCAAGCATGAGGTTAAGATCACAAATGGCACACCGGCTCCTGGGGACTACTCTCCTGAGAAGTCCCGATTGGATCACATACCCGCCTACACCTTTGGGGGAAGGAATGATCCTAAGGTGGAGAATCATTCGCCCGCTCCTGGTGATTATCACCCTGAGAAGGTCAGACTAGATCACATTCCCGCCTTTTCATTTGCCGGGCGTCACGATCTTCATAAGCCAAGCGAAACTCCAGCTCCCGGAGCTTACTCCCCTGAAAAAGTCCGTCAGGATCACAATCCCGCATTCACTATGGCTGGCAAGCATGAGGTTAAGATCACAAATGGCACGCCGGCACCCGGAGACTACTCGCCCGAGAAGACACGACTGGATCATGCACCCGCTTACACATTTGGTGGCAAATACGACCCCAAGGTGGAGAACCATCATCCAGCGCCGTGCGACTATGCGCCCGAGAAATTCCGGCTTGACCATACACCCGCCTACACAATTACAGGTCGCTCGACCATCGAGCATGTGAGCCATACCCCGGCGCCCTGCGACTACAGGCCGGAGAACTGTCAGCTGGATGCCTCGCCAGGCTTCACCTTTGGCATGAAGCTGAAACGGGAGCATGTCAGTGATACACCAGGTAAGTTAAGAGCTCTATACAGCGGTACTTCTTAGTGATAGTTGCACATTTTTAAAACGATACGATGCTTGCTTTACGTCACGTTACGTTACGTTACGTTACGTAACATTACAGCACCCACTGCATACGAACCGGAAAAGCACACCCAACACCCAACTCCAGCCTACACATTCGGCACTCGAACTGAGATCAAGGTCTCCAGCGATGCACCCGGTAAAGAACTATCAATAGCATTACCCTAGAACCTAGGCTTAAGTCCACTCGCATGTTGCTTACTCTTTGTTTTGTGTCTGCATCTTGTTGCGCCTGCCCACAGCTCCCGGACACTATCATCCGGAGCAATGCAATCTGGATAGCTCGCCGGCATATAGTTTCGGCCTCAAGACCTTACCAATGCCGCCCATACCAGGTAGGTGCTGCTGCTCCCTGCTTTTCCTGGTGCCGGTTATGTGCCACATTGGCGAAGCATGCATTCGAGGCATACGCTCAGACCCTTGCAGAAGCTATTTCCAAACGGGATGATGCACATGGTCCATCAAGCTCAGCAACTTTGCTAGCGACCACTGTACTATATACTCCTATAGCCGAGAAATAAACATATATATATGTCTGCAAGGGTCGTATATCTTCGGCAAGCCGAAGCTAGCTTTTGATCTTCTCTCTAATTGTTTTGTGTGTATTTTCTGTATTTCATATTTTCTTTGTATTTCATATATCTGTATTTATGTCCACGCACAACTCTTGCTCACATTCTCCCCGGTGTACTGGCCTCCACAAACCACATACATATGTAAACCATATGTATTCATGTATATATGCATATACTGTACTCATCAAAAATATATATAAAAAAACAATGCATCCATTAGAGCCAAGAGGCGCTTACATTGAAGATCGCATATTGCAAAGACGTGAAAGACGTTTGGCTAGTCCCGGTAAGCGCGTCATCCAAAACTCTAGACGTTTCAAGTACTCGTACTCGCTTGTAGAATAATTGCAATTAAGACAGTCGAAATTGATTCGTAACCCTTACGTAAATCCCTACATGGGGGCATAGCCTTAGAGTTGGCAGCAGCTTAAACAGAATATGAGAGTAGAATGAGGTGGCTGTTATACGGATTTGTTGTCTTTTGGATCGTATCTCTGATCGACATCATAGATAGTTCACGCTGTAAGTTAGAATTTATCCGTGCTATTTGGGCCTCAAATTACCCGGACACATTTCAGACAGGCCAAATGGCGCTTGTTTGGTCAAGAACAAGTACAAACACGAGCGCAGCTGCTCGGGACCACGTCGCAAGTTCTATGTGTTCCATCGCATCATTTTGAACTGCGTCTCGGTGTTTACCAAGTGCAAGCGCATCCACAAGCACAACGAGTGGCCCTCGCTCAAGAACTGCCAATACGAATGCGGCTGGCACATGAAACTCCATTTGCCCAAAAATGCCACCAATAGCACCAACAGCACCAACAGCACCAACTCGACTAGCGTCAGCTCAACCACAGCCGCAACTAGCAGTACTGATGCCACAACCAAAGACGACGCTGCTGGCGGCGGCGATGCGGGCGGTGGTGCGGGCGGCGGCGCTGGAGCGCCAGCAGAATAAGCCAGTTGAACCGTTCGTCCTTCTTTGCTACTTGTCAATTATAAATTGATATATGTACATATATATATGTGTGCTTAGTTACACATATACAATAAAAAACGGGTTGGAGCACAGACAATATAAACACTAATTAATAATTTGGCTTCAAGAAATTATAGAAATATTTACATCGGCTAGAAAACGCACACACAGACGGACATGGCTCTATCGACTCGGCTGTTGCGAACCCGAATCTGCTTCGTTTATTTCGGTTTTTTTTTGTGTGCAGATCGCGAGTCGCGATCTCTGAACACAACACATTCAAATATGCTGTTATGTATGTATATTCACACACACACACATACAAACATAATAGCATGCACGGAGCCGAAGCTGAGCATAAATTCTATTTTTAGTTTTTCGCTCTTTCGCCTGCGAGAGAGAGCGCAATGATACGGATTTCGTTTACGTGCTCAACACATTCACATATGCTGTTATGTATGTATATTCACACACACACTTTGTTTAAGCTTAAGTCTTAGGCTGAAGCAACAGGCTCTGATTGGTCAGTTATTGTAGTCAGAGCTTATTGTTATTGGTTTAGCTGAGCAGAAAGAAAAACTATGGCTAACAATTTCCAGCTTATCATAACTAACGTTTTACACATAGTTTAGCCACAATTTTTGGTATAAGTCCTCATTGAAAACCCCTTGTTAAGCACTGAAAATTCCAACATAATCGAACAGGTAATAGAAAAGTTATCAAGGAGTGCAGGCGAGTACTTGAAGCGTTTAATTAGCTTTTAGTGGGAAAGGGTAAATACATATGCGCATCAGCATATGCATATGTATGTGTGTATATAGAACTGAAGCAGCACAAATTTGAAATTCGAACCAACTAATTGCAATTTGCACCACAGTACGCAACGCTGTCGACGGCAACAGCTCCTCGACGACAACGACGACGACGACGACAACAACAACCACCACTGAGAAGCATCTTGTGAATGGTGCTCCGCTGCCCGAGCTGGGCAGTCAGGAGCAGGCGACAACAAGCACGACCAGGCGCAGCACCAATCGCACCGAGCTTGCACCCACAACAACCACAACAAAAACAACAAAAGTAGTGAGCACCGCTTTAGGCAACGATCAGTCCAAGTTGAGTCACAGCACAGTGCACCACTCGGCACAGGTACAGTCACAGGCCAGGTGCGACAATCTGCAGGTAATTGCCGCCGGTCGAGCGGAGGCGAGCACCACCAAAGCGGCGCAGGCGAGCACGCGCCAGGTGGTGCAGCCGGATGGCGCGATTGTGAGCAGCGGCCAGGCGATCAGGTCGAGTACCATCAAGTACGCTGTGGAGGCGAGCAGCGTGCAGGAGAAGATCATCAGGTAATCCTCCAGCTTTACTCAAGAATTTCGCCGCCTTTTGTGTGTGTGTGTGTGTGTGTGTGTGTTTCTTGCAGCCCCATTATGAACGAAGCTCTCTCTCTCTCATCTATTAACCCAGCCATTCAGACACCAGCAAAGAACAGCCAGTCCAGCCATATAATCTACCTAATATACCCTGTAATTTATTGAGAATTTTGTTTGCTTGCGACAGCTCCTAATGTCTACAAGATACCCACTGTCTTGGGCAGCAGCAAGGAGGGTCCGATACGTTCAGCGCCCGCTTTTACCATGACCGGACGCATGCATCCGTCGTTGATACCTAAACTGGTGCTGCCCGGTCCAGGGTATTACGATGGCGAATACACGGCCACCAAGTCCAAGCCGCCCATTTATACCATGCGCGGCAAATACAAGATGATCACGGACGACAACAAGCCCGGTCCCGGCGCACACTGTCCCGAAAAGGTAGGCACCCGATCTCTATAGAGATCTGTCATAGACTATAGCTAATCGACCTGCCTTAGTATTGGGAGAAACGTTCCACGCCGTCCATATCCTTTGGCATTATGCACTCGCCGTTCTGCGGCCGCCAGGGTCAATATATCTTACCGGATCGTTATACGCGCTACCTGCTGGCAAATCGGCCCGATAAGATTTATCCCTAGCTTTCCATTCCAGTTCGAGCGTTTTAGTAAAAGCACAAAAAAAATCAAATGAAAATCAACTAAATATGAGCTTTTCCTCGGCTTTTCTTCGCCCTCTTCCATCCACAGGTCAACCTCTCCCACATGCCCTCCTACAGCTTCGGCATCAAGCACTCGCCCTATCTGGGTCGCTTGAAGGAGCAGGACAATGATTGCGACTATGGCTTCTCGGGCATCTGCTGAACTCCTGGACTCCCAACTCGCCCTGCTCAAGATGGTCTCACCCTAAAAAAACGTAAAACTACAAAACAGCTTCCACACTTTCAGTTGCAGCTCAGACTCAACTTTTTGTGCCTAGAGCCTAGACTAACGTTAAGATTTGATATTTTTTGAATTCTACATTATAAGCTAAAGTGTTGTAAAATGTTCAAATATATACGGTATTACTAACTAGCTGTGTGTTTTTTTGTTATATATTCTGATATTTGGGATAGACTTTCACGCATTTTTCACTTAAGAAGGTGGATTGAACACGTCTCGAATCATTTTTAGCGCAGATCTTTGAAAATTATTTTCGATTCGATCGATCGAAAAGCCACAAAGTGTGACAACAAGAGCTTTACACCCATATTTCACGCTTGGGGGTGAAACTTATAAGAAAAATCGAGCCTCGACTATCGGGTCCACTTTTTTATATAATTTCTGATTTTGGGATAGACTTTTCACTTAAACAGGTGGATTACACATCTTGAATCACATTTAGCGCAGATCCTTAAAAATTAATTTGGATTCGATCGGCCACAAGGTGTGACATAATAAAATCTTTTCACCCATATTCCACGCTTGGGGGTGAAAAACCTTGTAGATGCTTTAACTCTTGATTCTCGTGTGCACTCCATTACCAATATGTTTATTAAAACAAAATATACAGCTAATTTGCAAGGCTCATAATATAATATCAGATCAATAAAGATCTCGGCTGAGGCAGCGCTTACTTCTTGACTATTTCGACCTCGGCATGGAAGCAGGACTTGCCCTGGATAGAAAAAGGGGTGGATCGTAAGTAAGGTGATATTGAATCGTAGATATGAAAGCGACTCACAGTATCGTGCTTGATTTCGCTGTCGATAATCAGATGACCGCGTGCCATGCCCAGCATGGCCTTGTACTTGGACAGATCGACGGTGTGATCGTTGGCGCAGATCTTCTCCTCGGCCACGGGGCAGCTCGACGGGGCGCCGAATACCTTGAGCATGTCCTTCGCCTCGGCGGACACCTGATCGACGGCGGCGCATAGATCGATTTTGCCCTCCTTCATGACAATGCCATCCTTTTGGACCTTGTACTTGGCCATGGCCGTGGCGAACGCCTTGTTGCTGAAGCAGCCCGTCGGCACCAGCTCACACTTCTTGTTCAGCTTGACGCCGAAGCCCTCGTCCACCTGGATGATGCCCTCCTCGCCGGCACAATTCTCCATTTTGACAACCTTCGCCTTGTAGCCGTTCTGCGGATGTTCACGAATATGGATTATGTGCCGCAAAATAACAGATCTCCGGCTAATTCCCGACTTACACAGGCCAAGGCCACGTCAAAGGCAGCACAGCTGAGCAGCAGGAGCACAAAATTCGGCAACATTTTCGCTATGGATTTGATCGGTTTGGGTTCTATGCTAGCCCTATTTATATGGCCTCCAAGTTGGAACTTCTCCAATTATAGGCACATTAAACGGTGGCTGCCTCCGGCGATCGCTGATCGTTCAGCTCAATTGCAGGCGGACGGGCCATTAAGTCGGTCTATATATATGATTAGCTACCATATTTAATTGGTTATTCTTTTTGTTGTACATTAGTCAAGCGGTATTTGACATGCATGTAGATCTGCCAGATTAGCCCTTTCCAAACCCAAAACAATTCATAAACATGCAGCTTTATAGCGCAGCATCATGCAAGAGGAAGCTTTAAACAGCTGATGCGCTAATTAGTCTGATTTGTTGATAGCATCTTGTGCTCTAAGCTAATACTTTTTAATTCATTTCAGTTACTTTAATATTCATAGGTTTAGCACAATAAATTCTATCATAAACAATGTCCCCAATTCACATATTTGAAAAGTAAGGCGCCAAATGACAGCACGCTGCAAGGCTGATTGCTACTGCACTTAGCGAGCACACTGCATCATTTAGTACATGCTGCAGCGATCTGGCAACGCTGCGCGCAAGCTTGCCGCAGTGTGTCGCGCGTTTAACATTAACATATCACGCTTAACATTTAGTTCAGTTTAACGACTCGCGCCGTGCAGACGTTACGAACGCTCGAGTGCGCGCCCAAAACGGCCAAACGCGGCTTTTGCGATTCCATTCAAAGAGTGCAAAGCACAAAAAATATTGCGATTTCATAACAAGCAGAAAAGAAATTTAAAACAAAACGATTTGCTGACACAAACAGTAAACAAATAAATTTGTTGTGCGCCTTTGTCAATTTTGTTTTAAGTGAAACGAAATCAAATCAAACGTAAGCGTTAAAAAAGTGCAAAATTCTAAAAAATTATATTTTGAAAAAAAAAAAATATTATGCCAAAATCGAGTGAGTTAAAAGTGCTCATTTATCAAAAGGTGCTAATGCGTGGCCTTAAATGAAAATACGATAAAATAAAATAAAAAAAAACAAAATTAAAAACTGTGTGGCTAGAACTTTGTGCAAAAATAAAGATAAAGCTAGACAGCGGAAGAGAGACAGAGAGAGGGGAAGCGGGAGTGTGTGTGTGCGAGAGAGAGAGGCGGAGCTGGAGAGCTACAGGTGGTGACAAAGCATCAAAATGCGAAAGCAAATTTTCTGTTATATCAATTCAAATGTTAACTCAATACAAATGAATTTTGTGTGTGTGTGTGTGTGTGTGTGTGTGTGTGACGTCTATTGACAGCGCTCAATGTCGCATTTTTTTGAATCTAGCTGCATTTTTTTGGTGCGCCCAGGGATACACACACACACACACACACACACACACACACACACACACACGCACACACACGCACACTTTTATTGTGAGCCGCTATCAGTGACCTCTATAGCTGTGTGCGTGTCGTATTGTTATCAAATTAATTTTCATTGATAAGTGTCTTTAAAACGTAGCTGTATCTGTGTGTGTGTGCGTGTGTGTGTGTGTGTGTGTACGTGCTCATATGTGGGGGCATTGAGGCATTCCAGCGAAACGAGAGAACAAACACGGCCCGGCCAGGTAACCAGGCCGTGATTCATCGCTGTCGTGACTGTAAATGTGAAGAGCTCTTGTTGTTGTTGTTGTTGTTTCTGTTGTTGTTGTTGTTGTTGTTGTTGTTGTTGTTATTGTGGTTAACTGTAGACTGCGTAAGCAGCTGACTATGACAGTCGCTGGCCTGGCTTAATCATCGCTAGCATCTCCCATTTGTATCTCACAGATACTCGCCGTCTTGTATCTAATTACCAAAAATGACGTCTGCGCCTTTGACATGCAGTTGCAGCTGCCAAAATAAAAGAAAACCCAGCAAATCAAATAAAAATAAAACATTAATATTTCAGCTGGAAATGCTGACAAGCATATGCCCTATCAGATACCCTTTAAAATTGTTGTTCAAGGAAATTACAAATTTCGGAAAACTTAATGATATAAGAGGAGCATAGCGACTCCCTTATACATTATATACAGAGTATAGAAAACAGTTAATATTAAAAGCGAAGAAGTTTTTGATGAATCGAGCCAAAGATGTTGAAACTGTTGGGTTTAATTATGAAATTGAATCGAATTGTAAAAAAATGATTCATATAGAATAGAAGGAAAAGTTCTAAGAAAAGGCACAGTAGAATTGTCTGTTAGATGTTTTAAATATTTATGCTCTTTAATATAAACAATTCAATTGATCAATAACAAATAAACTTCGTGACAAAGTCAAAGTAGGGTATGAACAAAAGACAGTTCTTACGCTCACGTTTTTCATTCTTTTTGGTGTATTTTTTGGTATCTTTTATTTTTTGGCAGACAAGTTTTGGAAACAACTTTCTTAAACCGGTTGCGAACAAGAGCGAGGGCTCCAAAATAAACACTTCGAATGCGCTGTGTTATCAACTGGCCCGAGTTCATTTCCGAATGACAAGCAAATGTTTATTGATCCCCAAATGAGTCAGGCTGTGCAACCAGCAGATACAAAGATACAGATACTAGGCACAAAGATAAAAAGATACAAAGATACAACCAGGCTCGAATCTAAGATAAAAAGAAACAAAGTTACAACCGGGCACAGGCTGGAATCAAAGATAAAAGATACAAAGTTATAGCTAGGCACATGATCGCATACAAGATAGAAAGATACAAAGATACAAATATACAATCAGGCACAGGCTGGACTCAAAGATGCAGATACAGCTAGGCACAGGATGGAATCAAAGATAAAAAGATACTTAGATACAGCTACAAAGATACAGCTTGGCCCAGGCTGGAATCAAAGATGAACAGATACAAAGATACAGCCGAGCACAGGCTGGAATCAAAGATAAAAAGATGCTTAGATACAAATATACAGCTTAGCCCAGGCTGGAATCAAAGATAAAAGATACAAAGATATAGCTAGGCACATGATCGCATCCAAGCTAGAAAGATACAAAGATATAGCTAGACACAGGATGGAATCAAAGATAAAAAGATACTTAGATACAGCTACAAAGATACAGCTTGGCCCAGGCTGGAATCAAAGATAAAAAGATACAAAAATACAGCTAGGCACATGATCGCATCCAAGATAGAAAGATACAAAGATACAGTCGAGCACTGGCTGGAATCAAAGATACTTGCACACACACAAATTGTATCTGTTTGGCAATTGGGTCAGCTGCTCAATTGCCCGCTGTGTCCGATTTGTTTATTAAAGGCAGACTTCGTGCGGCAACACTTGAGCGAACACTTGCCCCATTTGTCCATCATCCATTCAGCTGCCACAGAATGCTAATTGCTGCTGTTGCATCAATCACTTCTGCTCTGTGGCAAGCTGTCTGGTGCGGCAGCAGGAAATGCAACTATTCGCAGCACTTGCCGCAGTTGCCGCACTTGCCACACTTGCCACACACGCCCCGCGGGCAACAAATGCTAACTGTTTTGATAAGCCGGAAAATCAATAAAGCGCAAGTACTTACACGGAAAATGGCCAACAGCTCGCATATTTTCACAACTTTTCACACCTTTTCTGGCTTTCAGCATGGCATACCATATTATCGCTTTTCCTGGTATCCCTTAACAATATATATCAAATTTATGCCAATTGCATTACTTTGAACTCGAATACCCTACACTCAGGGCATATGCTAAAACTGCAGCAGTTGGCAACGCAAGAATTTGCGATTTGTGCCCGCGGTTGGGGAAACATTTAGTAAATGGACTAAGGCAGCATAAATAAATAAGTAAGGCTCCAAATGCGAACATCTCTGTTGATGCGAATGCTCAACTGCGAGATACCCTAGGATCAGATCAAAATAGGTTAACGTATTTATCTAACATCTTTGTCTTTTAGATTCCATTTCTAATGTGAAGAGACACAAGAAAGGTTTAAATTTATTTTGTGCACTTTCTTTAGTTCTGCTCTTTTGTGTGTTTAGCATGGAATTACCTGAAGTTTATTTTGATGAGGTTTACAGGAGTCAACATGCCAAAATCTTCAACTTCAACTAATTTAGTCGCTGACTGAAATAGTTGGGATGAATCGACTTGAGACACCTAACTGCATAGTCGAGCATACCCTCCCATATGTTGAATACAGGGTATTTACAACAGGCCAGCGCTGTCGCTGGGAGAATAACAATTTTAAGCCAGGCCATTGAGCTGTCTGTTTGCTCAGCCTGGTGGGTGGCCATGGCAAAAGAGGGGCAGAGAGGGTGGTGGGGAGGGTAGGGGAGGTTGTTTGTGGCCAGGTGAAAGAGTGGAGCCTAAGCTTGGCTAACGTTTTTGGTCATAACTCTTGGCTTGGCTTTAAAGCGTTGCCTTTCACCTGGCGTGAAGAATTTGCCAGCTATTCATAATGTTTATTTAGAAGTTTTCAAGTTTTCAAGTTTTCCTGTTTTCCGGCACGTAAATTGTGAAAACTTGCCTGCAAAACAACACTAAAAACTTAATCCCATTTCGAGCACAGAGCGCAGCCCAGCCGACGGCCCTTTTGCAGCTTGTTCTCATTAAGATTTTGATTGTTTTTTGTGGAAATGCTTTTCCGTGACCCAAATGCGCCAGCACAAAAGAAAACTGCAGCCGGCGAATATGAAAATGTTTCTCAAATATTTATTTATTTATTTATGAAACGAAAAGTCAACAATCGAATGCAAGTTTTTGGTGCCATTGCCAGGCAGTCGAACCAAAAACTTGTATATAAAAATAAACCCGCAACCACTTGGGGATTATTTTAGCAATAATATTCGCGGCATTTGTTGTTGTTGTTGTTGTTTATTCTGTTTACATGCCAAGAATATGGCTAATATACAAATCGGGCAGCGCGCCAACAAATTGCCACGAAAGATGTTTCTATTCGAAAAGATATTAAACAAAAGTATCTCAAAAGAAATAAAACAAAAGTATCTGAAAAACACTTAATCGACGCGACACTGAAATCGAAAGCGAAAAACTAATTCAAAGATTTCGCTTGAAGTCTCAAGATGTGTTTTACCTACTGACCACATTATGTAAGTCACATTTGTTAAAGCCCCCGTCGCGCACTATGAAAATTTCCAGCTTGCCTCTGACTCATGCCTCAGATACATTTACCGTTTCAGCTATTTTGTTACACTGCGCAAAAATAAATGTGTTTCATGTGCCCAACTTTTGTTAAATGTTGGCCGAAAATTGTAGCTGTGTATTTTCACTTTTGATTCGTTTGTAATACGCCACTTTCTTTGCAATTAAAAGCCAACAGGTAACTTATTTCCGTGTACTTACCCCCCCCCCCCCCCTACAGCACACCTCAGCTCCCCTCGCGTCAACTTTTTTGCATGCGAGTCTCTTGCCGCGTATCTTTTGCAGCTTCCCTACGTTTATTTAATGCCAAAGCTAACTGTATACGACTGCTTAGATAAGCGAAAACCCGCACATACACACACACACACACTCGCACACACGCACACTCGATCATTGCAAAACACATGTTAAACAATGTGATAAGCCCTGCGACTGTTGCTGCCAGATACAGATACAGTATCTTAAGCGAGCCCGCACTTATTGCGAGCCCGAAAAAAAAGGCAAGAAAATATATGTGTGAGACGGCCTTTATCTGGCAGCGGGAAGTACGGGAAGGGGGGTAGGGGAGGGGTGTGGCAAAAGGCCGCTGGCTGTCGCTCTGTTATTCTTGCCAATTTATCAAAATGCAAAACTTTGTTTGTTTTGCAGTTGTTGTTTATGCAACTGTCTGCTAGATTAGCTGCTGCTGCTGCTGCTGTTGTTGTTGTTGTCCGAGATGTTGTTGTTCGTGTTGCTGTTGTTGTTGTTGCTGCAAAGAAACTGCATTAGA